TCCCTTGGTGAACTTCGTGAAATATCGCGAACTTTTCCAACACTGATTCAGTTATATCAGAAAATGACCCGGAGCCCGTCCAACAAATACAAAAAATATACAAGGCAAACCAAACCAATGTCATGGAGAACATATTAACGTCCCGAAAGAGACGATGAACCGCACCACCGGAACTACTCTCCATAACTCTAAAGGCAAATGGGCCTCAAATCATCCTCCACGTTAACCACCGCCAACATGAATCCCTTGAAAATGTAAAATAAACCAAATAAAAATGTTGATACTATTGCTCAATTCAGATTATCATAATTTTCAACCCAGATAAAGTTTACACGAAATTTCAATAACATATGATCATGACGTCAGAACTTCTGCGATACACCTAACGGCAGCCCGCGTTCTTTAGATTAAGATACGCTGGATTATATTTAGATGGAAGATATTGCGGGTATTCCTTAAGGTGAAATTTAATGCTTTTCCGTTGATACCGAATCCATACCCGTTCGAACCACATCCAAATTCAAAATGCACCAATACCAACAAGCATTGCAAATTAGGAAAATGAGAAGTATCGGAATTTTGACCGTAATACAATATTATTGTATAGTTATAATAATTCTACTACTGAAATGACAACTTCAATTCAGAGATTTGAAGTTCAGGGAAGTCCTGCTAATGCTCAGGGAAGTCTTGCCGTAGCTCAGGAAAGGCCTGCCGAACTTCAGCGAAGTCCTGATGAAGTTCAGGGAAGCCCTGCCGAAAGTCCTGCCGAAGTTCAGGGAAGTTCTGCCGAAGTTCAGGGAAGTTCTGTCGAAGTTCAGGGAAGTTCTGCCGAAGTTCAGGGAAGGGTTGCTGAAGTTCAGGGAAGTCCTTTCGTTTCAATTCTCGGAAATCAGGGAAGTCCTGATGAAGTTCAGGGAACTCATGCTGAAGTTCAGGGAAAGCCTGCCGAACCTCAGGAAAGTCCTGCCGTAGTTCAGGGAAGGCCTGTCAAAGTTCATGGAATTATCTAATTATCTTTAAAAAAAAATACCAAGATATGTCAGAATTGATGGAGGTTGAAACTTTTACAAAGGATCCATGAATTAGCTCACACATACACACACTTGAATTGTTTTTATTAATTCAAAAAAACATAAGTTTACAACACGACTTTTTTGTTTACTCTGTTCGGGACATAACACCACTGGGGCCAGTATTTTGATCTATTGTAGTATATCCCGTGTCCTTAGTTTAGTGCATGTCGTATTACTTCATCACTATTGAGAAATGATGAAGTATTCGGTTTTGATACAGTTGTCATTCTTGCCTTCATCGCAAGGAATCGATTCTAATTGAAAGGTCCCACTATTTATACCCTTCGGAGTGTTGAAACACCCTCCAAAGGCACGCCTTTGTCAGTCAAAATTGGATTCTTTAGCAACAAAAATAAGCAATGACACCGATAATGACCATGCAGCAGAGCCCTAGTCTTAACCATTTCAAACTAAAGAACAACGAATAGAAAATTAGGACTCACATAGGTGAAGACTAGCTAACTCATTGTTTCCTTGTTTCAAGATCATCCTCGGTGGACAAAGACAAGTCTTGTCACTATCACCAAGGAATAACAAGTAACAAGGACTAAGATGTGCTCCTTTGATTACTGAAAATCCTGTTCCCCAACTTTGAAGTAGTCAAGACTAGGAATCGGTGGTAGATCTTACATACCGTAACGTACCACGAAAAGCTGATCTACCCACGTTACGGAGCACTCCAACACGACTTAGAAATTTTAGAAATTTTAGAATAGAAATTTTTTACAATTTATTTGCAAGCACTTTCATAATTGAGTTCTTGCAATAACGCATCAAATCTGTATAATTTCTTTATTATGGTCTTAGCACGGACCTACGTAGACCTCGCTTGAGTTCATTCAAAGTTCGGAAAGAGTTTGTTCAAAGTTTAGAATCATGAACACCCAAGTAACATTGCAAGCTTTATAGAGGTTTTATAGCATTCTACAAGTCCAAATCATGGTCTACAGAACCCTCATAAAACCAAAATTGTTTCATGGGAAGTGAAATTTGCTCTCTAAAGAATGTCTCTATTTAAATGATCTTGAAATTCCAGACTCTTGGTTTTCAACAAGTGTAAAAAAAAGTTATAGTAGCGAGAGTCTACCCTAGAATTTGATTTTGTTCTATGACCCATAATTTTTCATTCAATTTTAATGTTTGATCTTTAATTTTCACAAACTCTTCATATCAAACCAGATTGCAATTCGAATTAAGCATTTGGAAAATTAAAAGGTCATCGAATCAGTTTGTTGTTGCTTGATCCTACATACCTAAGTCTACTAAGTATTTGTTGTCTGTAAATACCTGTTAAACCCTTTGGGATAGTTCCATCTGTTCTGTATTCCATACGTCACCTTTCGACCGAGCGAATAAAAACCGAGAATGTTTTAAACAGGTGAAATAGTTTTTGTGACTTGCTATTGGTCACAGACGGAATTTTACACGTGACGTAATCCATCTTTGACATAAAGGATGAGACGTAAACAAACATGTCATGTAAAATTAAGTGCTTCGAGACTGAAAAGTTCGTTACTCCACGAAAAGTAAGTTTGATTGAGCTGAATTTCTCGTCTATTATGACTCAATTTTATGTCAAAATTGACGCTCGTATGTGTCAGTCTCAGTTCACCTAAATTTACATGATTTTTTTTAAGTGTGTGGGACCAAAGGTAAAGCGGGGAAATCACTTTATCTCTAACACCAAACCACAGAACAGAAGGGGAAGTGCAAACAAATCGGTGAAGCAAAAAGTGGTACGTTTTTCTGATCAATAAGCGATGCATTGTGATAGCGTTCCACATGGGCTTTCTATGCGCACTCGCACAATCATAGCATGCTGTCTATCTTAGCTGCAGGCAGAAGATGCCTTCTACCGCTAGGTGCGCTATTGTGCGTCAATGAAAAGTGGAGCCATTTTCTGATCCGAAGTTCCACTTCTGTTCTGTGACCAAACGTCAAATGAAATGAATGTTTTCTACACTCATAAAATAAATCACATAACCAGTGGAAACTATCCATGTGAATTTCACATAGCTTTCATGTGATCCCATAATTGGAAATTGCACCACTAAATCACATGAACGTTATGTGTCAAATGAAATCTCTAACATCAAACGTCAGATTGGTATGAAAATGTTTCAACAATAAAATAGGAATGATTTTTTACTGTAAAAATTTCAGCTGAAGGGGCGTGCCATTGCGTTAAAAAAATATAAATTTAAATTATTTCACAACCCTAAAACGCAAACTAAACGTACACTCTCTGTTTTAGCAATTGTCTTGCAGTTTGTTACGACAAAGAAACTTTATTTTGAAGTTAAGTCGAATTGATGCATTGTTATTCTTCAGATATGACGCTATTCAAATGTCAAAATATTCAGCTAACTCTTCGACATGGTGACTTGGTTAATCAAACAATAAGAATGGGAAACTAATAACACTTCAAACAAAAAAATCAAAATTCTAACATCTGAACATCAAAAGCTCTTTCACAATTAACGATGATAGGTAATACAATACTAATTTATTTAGTGAAAAATGTAATTTGGGTTTGGTGCTCTGTGAATTGAAGCTGCTCAGAATTAATAAATATAATAAAACATGAAGTTATTTTACACTTATTTTAAAAAATCTGTATATTTTCTATAAATCTGTAATCTATTTATTCAGATATCTGTATCCAAGTATGTATTGAAAAAAATCTGTATGATTTCAGATAAATCTGAATATGTGGCATCACTGCCTGGAGCATGCTTACGCACATTTACATGCAAAAGCCAGTTGATTGCTTAGGAAAACGAAATCTAATGCTTGGAATTGCATTACAAAAAAATGGTTTGCATTGAAATAATGCATTTTAAAGGTATGTTGTCTTCGGAGGCAATGCTCCTAATAATATTTTGAACTTTGAAAATAATTTTCAGAAATTTTAAACAATAAATCAATCTTGTAAAAATTGCTAGAGGTAGTAATTTTAGTTCTTTAATTTTGCACGGAAGAGTTTTTTTTTTCGTTTGGGCGCTGCGTTATTTTGTAAAAAATCGATTTAGTGAGTCATTCTAAACCTATTCACTTTCACCTGTATTAAACCTGTTGACCCTATTTGTCGCTTGGTTTGTATGAAATATTTCTATCAAAGTCGCATCGATGAAACCTTAATTGCAAATCGCAGTTTCCCTCTAATCTAACTTCACGTGAGCATTTTTATCACCTGCTAAATATGAATGACTTCTATAGCACAAACATTACTATTTCCTACAACAGCATGCCCTGCCACATGTTCTAGCAAATGGGGTCGTGTTATCTTTCGAACGTTTGTTGGATATGTAATCGGGTTAGCTTTGGGCTCGTACGACGCATTCATGTTTACGACCAAAAGGTAAACAAAGCGTTTCTAAAAAGAGTTCACCGTCTTTGGAACACCTTATGATTGATGACGAAATGAACGATATATTCATTTCAACATTTGGAACTCTAGAACTTTGACTAACGCGGAGTAAATTCAAAACAAACCAAATTACCAACGGTAATCAGAAACCACCATCACCACCACCACTGCACATGCCATCCGTTGTCGCAAAGAGAGGGGGCGTATTTATCTCCAAAGCAACCATCTGCCTTTTATAACGTATTCTGTGCTGTAAGTACTGTACTGTAATTCAAATAAAGCGCACGCGACAGAAGTTGGGAAAAATCCGTCCCTCAGTTGGATGAACCCGAACAGAAACAGTACCCGGGTCGAGATCAGCACGTGGTTGCACAATATTTGAACCCAAGCATCAACATCACCATCATCATCATCATCCCGTGTACCTCGTCCGTCTGGTCTATTTGTCTGGTGAAAAAGAAAACCCCAGAGCCACTACCTTTACCCATCTGAGCACAATACGCGAAGAACTCTTCCACTTCAGGGACTCCGTTGTCGTCGTCGTCGATCCACATGTTCCGGGCAATGCGCTCTATGAAATAAAAAAAAAATATAAGGGAAGTACAGCACTACTATCTGCATGTAAGCCCCAACCGAGAAAAGGTGGTGGGAATCATGATACTTGCGCTTTCCTCTCCGGTGTGTGGTCATATGCAGACATGTGCTCGTATAGATAAAAAAAAAATACTTCCAACGACTAGGAGAGCAGGCAAAAGCAAATATAGATAACAGAGCGACCGACCCGCGACTGTTTGACGTCGTCGTCGTCGTCGTCGCTGGAAGTTTTGATAACGTCGCCCGAAGAGCACCACTTAGTACTAATCACCGTTCCGTGCCGTCAACAACCAAATCCCGTAGTGTCCTTTGCGTTCCGCGTTCCGTATTCGTCGGTTTTGCTTTTCCCGTGAGATCGTCGGCCCTCGGTTGTTTGATCTGATTTCGTAACATCTGCCTTCCGAAATTAATCCGCCTGGGTGTAAATTTTTCGGGAAGTTTTAAGGAAATCGAATCGCAGCCACATCGCACACCACCAATAAAAAAGAAAAAAGAAGAAGAAGAGCAAAGAGCGATAAGAGTGAACGAGTGAGAAGCCTCCTTATCGATAGCAAAACGAGTCGGAAAGGAGCGATGCGCATATACGAAGTTTATCTAAGATAAGATTATTTTCTTTCTTTCCCCATTCCAGAAAAAAAAAAAAAGTTTCTCCGTTCCTTGCAACAAGTGTTAGTTGAAGAAGATTTCCTAGGGTTTAACGGAAAGTAAAGAAGAAGTGTGAGAAGCTAAGTTAATCGAAAAAGAAGGGAAAATCCCTTTCATTCCGTTGATAGTAAGAAGCTACGAAAAGAGCAAATCAGGAGGAAAAAGGTGGTGTTCATTTTTCTACCCATTTCGTGCATTCAGAGTGCGTTCTTTTGCGTGTGTCAGTGCGTGTCCAAGTCCGTTATTTTCCTCTGTGTCCTGTATATTTTCTGTGTGAGTGTCCAACCCTTCGTCTGCGACAAAAAAAAAGAGTAAAGTGTTCCTTTCAATAATCACCAACAACAATGCTTAATTCGTTGGAAGCGTTGGCCGGCAAGATTTCGCCAGGTTCGGGCAAGAGTTCGCCCTCGTCCGGGATCGATAGCAACGGCAACAAGGTGCTGCTCGGTGGATACGCCCACCATCATCACCATCTGCTGAGTGCGGCCAAGCATCCCTATCAGAAGCCGGGCCTGAGCAACAACAACAACAACAGCAACGTGGTGAACAATGCAATCATCAACGGAGGAGGGGCGCTGGTGGCGTCGGTCGTGGCTTCACCGGTGATCGCCAGCATCGGTAGCAGTAACGGAACCGGACCCGGTGGCGATCTGCACCACCCCCACCATCGGGTGCCGGACGTTGCGGCGGATGTGGCGACCATGCAGATCGAGATGAACGCCAAAGAAAAGTGAGTACCCCCAAACAATTTAGCCTGTAAATGGGCCTTATCTTTCGTAGTCGCACAGCGGTACAATTGGCGTTATCTTTCTGAAATAACGGTGAACCAACATAGTAAGCAACAATATTTGATTATTAGATGGTTGGTGTGCCATATGAGGGTGGAGATTTCTCCATACGTCTCATCTAAAGCTAACACATTTTTCAAATGTACAACTTGATGCATTTGCTTCATCATTTCTAATGTATTTGTTTATTTTGGAAACACACATTACTTACAGAAAACAACAGTAGGCTACGACCTAGGATTACGTGCTCGGTATTATTGTTCGGCGACTGTGTTAGGGAAACCCCTTTTTTCCCATCACGGAAACGCCTCGTTGTCTGATGACAAAATTGCACATTTTCGTGCACAAATTGAATTTGTTTGTACAATTTTCCAATATAGATTCGAGATTTGTTTGCTTTTCTCTGGCGTCCTGGAGAAAACCTTACCTTAATTTGAAGTATTTCTGGTTAATTGACTAGGTCAAGTACTAGTCGGTCATTGCGAGAATTTGTATGCACCACTTCCAAACTGTTACGCATTTGACCACAAACGTTTGGTTGCTGGGTACATTATCAAAGAGCTTTGGGGGTGATGTGGCTGGCATCAAGGCGAGCGAACGTTCAATGAAAATTAACTATTAAACAATAATAATTTATGGTGGTCCTGACAAAAACTGTTTTGTCGAGATGGTTGAGTAATGATGTTCTATTAGGGTGTTCATCACAGATGAGGCTGGCAAACTGTATGTTTTTTTAGAACGAGGGTGACGCGCTTGGCATAGATGATGATGATGGTCCGACCTTTTACCCCTACAAGGGTTTGAGCTGGACGATTTATCTTTAAGATAATTATATATGACATTTTAACCAGGTTAGCAAACAAAATCGAACTGGTTACAGCTACAGATATAAATTCCCTCTAGAGTTTACAGTTGCTTCACAGTGATATAAATGTGGAAAAGCTTAGTTCGCCATTTTGTCCACCTAAAATATTCATAAGTATTACAAGCAATCAAGAGTTCGTGAACAATCAACAAAGCATCCTATTACACTAGCAACCCCGCAATCTGATGCTATCATAATTTTCAGCAATGTCATGAATGCTCACGAACTCCCGATATTTGCCAGAAAACTTACTACTAACTCAAGGTGTCTTCCAAATAAGCTTCAAAATTACATTTTTTTTAATCACATGTTAAATTCAGTCCTCTATATCCGTAAAACGCGCGCGAGGCTCAAATCTTTGTAAACTACTTTTTTTGTTTAATCTACTACTATTAAATCGAATATTAAAAATCCATCATCACCATCGTGGCGAACAGAAATAGTTTTAACGGTGCTACAATAATTATTAAAAAGTCGTTATAACAGCTATCCATATAAAATAATCCGTTAGAGATAACTTCGTCAAGATACATAATTTGCCAATTCATAAAAAAAAATCAGTAGATAACTGTTCAAAAGACAGTTTAACGTGTGAAATGCAGTGTCTTTTAAATTCTGTAAGTGTTGCTGAACGTTTGATATGTCTAGGCATCGAATTGAAAACATTTATTCCTTTATAATATAATGAATTTTGTGAAGCACAAGTCAATAAATGTGGTGTCTTTACTTCAACCGCGTTTCTAGTATTATATCTATGAAAGTCACTTCCTCTTTCAATTCCATCACACATATATCGAGGCAGCAAACCATTAACTACTTTAAAAATGAACACCATAGTCAAATATACAATTCTTTGCTTCACCGACAACCATTGTAAGGCGTCTAGCGTCAAAGTTGAGGAAGTGATTCTATTACATCTCAATACCAAACGCATTATTTTACTCTGCAAGCGCTGGAATCTCGATATTTGTGTTTCATTGGCCAGAAATAAAATGGAAGGGCAAAAGTCTACATGAGGAGAGATGATTGATTTGTATAGCTGTATTTTACTGGCAATAGTTAAATCGTTTTTCAGTCGACATAGAATTCCATACTTCTTGGCATTTTTCTTGATGACATTGTCAATATGAGCTTAAGTTCATCATCAATAATCACGCCACGATTTTTAATCTCCCAAACGCGATCAATCGTCTCATCATCAATTACAACAGAGACGTACTCATTTACTCGATTCCGCGAACTTACCATAAATGTAGTTTTACTTGTATTGTATTCAACTGCTTATACTTCAACCATCTACTTAGAGAACGCAAATCTTCATTCAAGTGTAAAACGGCATAATCAAAATCCTTAGCTGCAATGAATAACACAGTATCATCAACGCAAAAAGATTAATGTCGCAAAATCGTAAAACACGTCGCAAGGCATTAATATACATAATAAATAACAGGGGCCCTAATACACTTCCCTGGGCACTACAAGGTTATTCCCCACGGGACTGGAAACAGAATCGTTAAAAACAGTCCGTTGAGTTCTGTCAGACAAATAGCTTTCAAACCATTTATATGCAGTACTCGTTATTCCAAAGCGCTTGATTGATCTTAACAATAAGGGCCTAGAAATTGTTTTAAAAGCGCGTTTAAGATCCAAAAAAACAGCAACAATCGTATCTTTACACTCTAAGTTAGTTTTCCACTTCGCTAATACCAAATTCAATGCGGTTTCACTAGAATGACCTTCCCGATAGCCCGATTGTTCTGGTATCAACAAACTATTAATATTTAAACACTCCAGCAGCTGGACTTTAACAACAAGTTCTAAAATGTTCTCTAATGTGTGCAATAAATGTTGATGGGACGAAACTCTTCGGCTTTAATCGTTCCAGCAACTTTTTGAATAGGGGCCACTAAGGATATCTTCCAAATTTGTGGCACATGTCCAGTTTGCAATGATTCATTAATAAGGTCCAGCAAGATGTGGCCAATGACATGAAAGCAATCTTGAATAACATTAACATTGACATTGTCTACTCCAGCCGATTTTCCTAATGAAAAGCAAATCACTCTAAGTTCATCTAATGAAATTGGGTGAAAACCTACAACTACTATTAACAGATTGTTTTATTTCGTCAGGTTCATCAACCAATTCAATGGATTGATAAATCAATGAAACAACTGTCTACAAAATAATCATAAAATTTAGATGCAATTACTTGTTCTGACTGTTCTAATGTGCCATTTAAAGTTATGGACAGCGGTTTGCAATTACTAGGTTATAATAAAGATTTCAAAATTTTTCATAACTCTTTGCTGTTGTTTTGATGCTGATCAATCTTCCTTTGAACATATTCACAACGAGTTTTCTTTATCGATTTTGAATACTTATTACGCGCGATTGTGTACCTATTCGAATGATTGTCATTATTTGATCTACAAAAAATTTTGAACTATTTGTCCCTTTTCCGTTTAAGACGCAAAAGATTCAAATTGTACCAGCTGTTCAAGTTTTTCAAAGAAACAAACATTTGCTCAACTAGTTGATTGGTACACGTTTTCAAAGCGATATTAAGAACAGCTGTATATTCATCTAAGTTACCGGCCGCGAATGGAAAATCAACGCTCCTCTCAACAACATTCGAAACAGCTTGCTTCGAATATTTCATCCTGCAGTTAAATTTTACAAAACTATTGTTATCGTTAACATAGTCTAAGACATTAATCTCTATGGTCTCATGATCGGTTATTTTCAAATCAGTATCCGTAACTGATCAAATGAAATCAACATTGGAATAAACGCGGTCAATTATAGTTCTACTGTGTCTGGAAATACGCGTATACTCATTTATCGTTTGCTTTAAATTGAAAAACTCAGATGAACGCTTCAAATGATTCAAATTATGATCATCACGCCATTTAATATTAAAATCACCAGCCAAAGTATTTAGTTTACTAGAATCAAGGAATGTCTCGAGCCAGTTCTCCAAAACTATCTAACTAACTAACTTAACTTTCATAGCTAGCTGCTTGTGGGGAGCCTTTCGTTGTGTATTAGAGAACACCACCACTCACCACACGCGGTGATTGAATTAGGATTGGGCGATCTCGGATCGATCTTTGAGAGATCAATCTTTTTGATCTCGATTTTCGATTTATAGGATCGATTCTTTATTTATTAAAAAATCATAAAAATCGATCTTTCCGTTCGATCTTTTCGATCTTCAAAGAAGCAAACCAATGTAATTTTTGTGCATCGAAAAACTGATTTTCTTGACCCCCAAACCTAAATTTAATGAACATACACTCAAAATTAGCATCAACGTAGTCGCTCTTAATGTTCTATAAAGTAGGGCGGATAATGGAAATTTGATACGTTGCCTCTTTCATTATTACGCATTACGACATTTAGGTTGACAACAGGGTTACTTTGATTCATTTCGCAAAAAAAGATGTTTTGTGGGATACTGGAATCAAAAGATATTATGATTATGATAATATTTTTGTATTTTAGTAGCACGAAGAGCTTGTAAAGTTTGTGTTTGGCGAGATGGACCAAACTATGGTCTTAGCCGTCTGTAAAGAGAACCACAAAAAAAAAAAAAAAAAAAAAAGTTTGTGTTCACTCATAAAACCTGACAACATCGCTGGTTTCTGTTTCACATATAAAACCTGACAATTTTACTCTTTCCTGATTCTTCACAAATAGTGATCCGAGCATCGCTGATTGTGACTCTTTGACAGCAAAATCAGCTGCAACACATTCCTTATAATCTCTTATTGTAACCTAATAATACAAAACATCATTTAAAGACTTCTAAATCAATTCTTCTGATAAGTATGACATCTCTCGAAAAACACGAGTAAATGAAAATTTAGATATGTTACTTTTGATATTTATTTTAAATTTTGACTGAAGACTCAAAATCCGGATACTTAGCCCATACATCTGGAAACGTTTCAAAATTTATTATCACTGCTTACTATGCTCAAAAAATCACTTAAATTTTGTCAGTAATAGTCATAATATTTAATTATAATTTCAATATCCGAGTTAACCGACCATCCTGTATTCGGTGAATTA